TTCGAATCCTAATATTGATGCCACAGCCAATTTTGGTCGACAATCTGCAGATTTTCATCCTTCTATTTGGAATGATCATTTCCTTCAATATGCTTCTGACGGTTTGGTATTTATGTCCCTACTTTATGATACACACGCAACATATTAAAGTAGAAGAGTTTTGAACGATGGAATCTTGGAGAGAAATTTCCTTCTAAGCCTCTTTAATAAAATTTCATTAACAGCTTGTTTTATATTCTTATCAATTACTTTCCAGCGAGTAATTTGTTGCACTAAATTTTATTTTACTTCTATTTTTCACACACACACTCTCTCCCTCTCTCCCTATATATATATATATATATATATCAGTCTTTAATTACCATTGGCCCGGTCTTGTTGTTGCTTTAATTTTTACATATTTTTCCTCCCTTTAGAGATTCAAGTGCAGATAACCGCTGCTGTAGGCTATATATCTTTAGATTTTGATTTTTCATCCTATATTTTAATTTTCTGCATATGTATGCGTTTCACTTGTAAGAAAAAAATTTACAACTTAATGCATTAAGGGTTAAACTATAGGTATAGAGGTGACTTGAACTCTAAATTTGTATTTGATACGTGTTGAATTCTAAACAATTAAATTTGAGTGAATGAAGTGGGTGAGAGAAAATGTGGGCCCCATTGTGATAAAATAACATATGTTAATTTGGGATTAATAGTAGGGCCAAGATTGTCCCAAGTTTAATTTTTTGGGGCTCAAAATATACCAAATATGAGTTCAAAGTTTAAATCACCCTTAGGCTTATAATTTAGGGTTTAAATTACCATTTATGTCTCTTCATTTGGTTTGGTTCTTTGCACAATTTAAATCATGCAAAAAGAATTTTTAAGTACTTATTAGTAATTTTTCTTCATTAATTTTGATGTTTTCAAAACATATATTCAATATCTTATATCTATTGTTGAACACAATTAGCCAAATTTTACATGGTACATAAAACTTGGTAGTTAATAACGGCAAGTTCTTTAAAACCATATATCTAGGGAGTTGACGATGAAATGAAGAAAAATATTGAAACATTGAAAGAAGAAGTGAGGAAGAAGCTTGTCTCTACTGTGGAGAAACAATTCAAGAAAGCTGAAGTGATTGATTCAATTTAATGTTTGGGTTTGTCATATCATTTTGAACCTGACATTGATCAAATGTTGAAACAGCTTCACAATGATTATGTTGAAAATAATGAAATAACTTATATTGAAGATCTCCATTCTCTAGCCCTACTCTTCAAGTTGCTGAGGCTACGTGGGTATGCTGTTTCACCTGTATGCCACTATATATGCTTCCTATGTGGTCCATTTTTCTTTTGTAATTTGAATCCCATGTTAATGTAAAAATAGACACTAAAAATATTATTTTATTTATTGAAAAAAATTATTCCATAAATAAATTTGCCACGTCACAAGAAAAAAGAGATTTTCTCGCAAAGAAAAATATGTGTGTGTGTGTGTGTGCATGTATGCTATTTTTCTCTAAACTAGCTTTTTTTTTTGGGCTCCCTTTTAACCAATTCACACAAATCATTTTCATCAGATGTGTTCAAGTTCAAGGATGAGAAAGGAAACTTCAGTGAACCACTTACTTCAAATGTTGGAGGAATGATAACATTGTATGAAGCTTCTCATCCGAGCATTCATGGAGAAGACATTTTAGACGAAGCACTTACCTTCACCTCCCATCATCTTCAATCCTTCACCATTGAATCATCAAACCCTTTTCTTGCAGCTAAACTCAACCATGTCTTAAAGCAGTGTCCATGTAGGGGAATAGCAAGATTAGAGGCACGAAAATACATCTCAATCTACCACCTTCATCCTTCCTACAATGAAGTTCTTTTGACCTTAGCAAAATTAGACTTCAACGCACTCCAAAAATTGCACCAGAAAGAACTTGGCAACGTTTGCAAGTAAGTTCTAGAGCCATGTGGAACATACAGAAGAAATATAAACATTATAGTTACGAACTTACTTATACATACTTTCATTTCTGTGGTGGGGTTATAGATGGTGGAACAGTTTGGATGTGCAAAATCTATCATATGCAAGAAACAAGGTTGTGGAAAATTACTTCTGGGCTCCCGCGACTTCTTATTTTGAGCCTCAAAACTCCAAATGCAGAAGCATCATAGCCAAAGAATTTTGTTTCTTAACTATCATTGATGATACATTCGGTGTTTATGGAACCATTGACGAACTAGAATTCTTCACCGACACAATTGAGAGGTTTAGCATATCCTATTTGTTATTAGTTTTGGAATATGCTTGTTGAATTTTTAGCTCAGGCCATCCCTCTCTCTCCCTCTCTCTCATTTTATCTAGTTTCCCTTCTAGTGTTTCAAGTTAGACTATTTAATTTTTTTAACATGCATACACAGGTGGGATATTAGTTGCTTGGATGACTTCCCTGGATATATGAAGCTTATTTATCAGGAATTGTTGAATATTTTTGAAGAATTAATAGATGATGAGGACAAGGGTAAAGAAGGAAGATCATACACTGTTGACTATATAATAAAAGATGTACGATGATACTTTTCCCTATAAATTTCTCTATACTGCTGATTCTTTTATACATATTACTAAAATAGATTTAATTAAATACTATTTTCATATGCCAGTTTAAAAGGGTAGTGCAAGCCTACATGACAGAAGCCAGATGGTTATATAGAAACTATACACCAACAACAGAGGAGTACTTGAACGTATCGACAATAACTTCTTGTTTTACATTCCTATCCATATCAGCTTTCATTTATATGACAGACATTGTAAGCGAGGACATTTTCAAATGGATACAGACCCAACCTAAAATTATCGAAGCTGCTTCTGTTATTGGCAGGCTTATGGATGACATAGTCTCCAATAAGGTATACATATATATAATTGATCAAAATTCCAAATAATTTTTTTTTTTGCTTTCTCCAATAAAAGTTTACCTTATTTTATTTAACCTTCTCTTAAAAATATTTGTGATGATGCAGTTTGAGCAGAAAAGAAAGCACATTGCCTCTTCTATAGAATGCTATATGAAGGAGCATGGAGTGTCAAGGCAAGAAACCATAGAGGAATTAAGGAAGATGATCAAGAGCGCATGGAAAGATATTAATGAGCAATGTCTCAGACCAACTCAAGTACCTATGCCTTTTCTTATGATAGTTCTGAGTCATGCTTGTTTCATCGAAACGATGGACAAGGATGCTGATAATTACACTCATTCTGGGGGAATCATGAAGGATTACATTACACTATTGTTTGTGGATCCTGTGCCAATATGAGCACAATAGATTAGGGCTTACTTCTTTCTAAAACGTGTCTCATGGCTTTGGCTTTATTTAAGGGTTTGAGAAAGAAACTGTGTGATGTATTGTGTTAATTATGTTTTAATTTGTCCATGAAATTTGTCATGGAATGGTCCATGGTGTGTTTTTGTTAAATAATATATGAAATATTAGACTGCTGCTTCTGTGCCATCTTCACATCTAATTTCATCTGTGCCTCATGAGTTTACTACTACTTCGGTTCCGGCTGTGTCTTCCACGAGTTCTACTGTGGTGCCTTTATCTACTTCTGATGTCTCTGCTCCTGCAAGTGCTTCTGCCTCTACTAGCAACCCTGCTTTAGCTCAAGCATTTGTTGCAGCACCTCAAGTGGTAACTGATAATCAGTGGTACTTTGATTCAGGAGCCACTCAACAAATAATTCATGTTCCTGCTGATCTGAGCGCTTTGACTCCAGAGGCTACTTATGGTAATGTTCAAGTTGGAACTGGAGATGCTGCACCTATTATTCAGATTGGTAAGCCTCATCTTAAATCTCGCGTTAGTACTTTTTATATGCCTCATGTGCTGTGTGTACCTCGCATGCAGAAGAATCTTGTCTCTCTTGCACGTTTCACTATAGATAATTCTGTTTCTGTTGAATTTTTTTTCCTCATGGTAGCATTATGAAGGACTTGCAGACTTGCTATATTCTGATGCGTGGGCCTGAACGCAATGGCATGTATCCAGTTGCTGCACTTGCTAGGATGTCTTCTGCTCCTACCTCAACTATCTCTCCTGCTGCAGAAGCTCATCATACTGTCTCATCTGTTTCCCTTTTGTTATGCCACTGTCGCCTTGGTCATCCATCATTTGAGACTGTTAAACGTATGTCAATAATATTCCCTATGGTTCTCCTTCAGTATCTCTGCTCTTTGTACTGCTTGTCAACTAGGGAAGAGTCACAAACTTCCTTTTGCAAAGTCTCATCCTGTGTACTCTCTCGTCCTCGATCTTCAGTTAATAACAACAGATGTTCGGGGTCCAGAACCTCTTGTTTCTCATTGATTTACTTATTATCTTGCATTTGTTGATGCATTCAGTCGCTTCACTTGGATTTGTTTCCTTCAAAAGAGATCTGATGCTCTTTCCAAATTTAGAGCATGTTTGGATTAGAGGCAAACCTCAGTTAGAATGGGTTTAACTGCAGTTAGGATATAAAATGTTAAAAAAATTTTGTTTGGATTCACATAATTTTTTAACCTCAGTTGGCAGGTGAACGTGCGTTTAAGCTGAAGCTCACCCATCTGGCTTTTTTCTCCCAAGTGTCAGCGTTAATACCCGTTGGAAGCAATACGCTTTGTTGATTTCTCTCTCTTGCTTTTTATCTACCAGCTGCGCCTGAAATTCCTTTCCTTTGTGCATGGTGCCGTGACCTTCGAAGCTGCTTCAAAGCTCACAGATCTGCTTCTTCCTTCAGAACATTGGCTATACACTTCGGAAGCTGCTTCACAGATCTGCTTTTTCCTTTCAAAAATCCCGATGAGCAACTTCTTCCTTCACATCTTTGTGCTTTCAAAATGGTCGCTCACAGATCTACTTCTTCTTCCTTCCGTTAGTCAGGCGACGCGCAACTTATCTTCAAGACTCACATCTTTGTGCATTCAGAATGTTCACTCGCAGATCTGCTTCTTCTTCCTTTCGTTAGTCAGGCAACGCCGTCCAGCAGCTCATCTCTACTATGTTGAAGCACCTCCGGCCGATCTCCAGCTCTCCATTTTCAAAGACATTCTTGATAGTATCAGGGCTAGGATCAACCATTGTAAGAGTTGTGCTATCCCCAGCAGACTCAGCATACGTAGTCTTGCCAACAACAACAATGGCATATTCAAAGTTGCTGGACTTGACAAAATCACTGTCAGGGTTCTCACGAAACACAACTTCTGTGCTTGGGTCAACTTCCATTTTCACAGCGTCGAGAATAGTTGTCCCTATCCATGGAAAGGAAATCTGTCAGTTTGTTTCTGATTTAGCATACTCTCATGAGAAATGAGTTTGGTGTTTAGAATAACAAGAAAATGAACCAAAAATATGAACAAAAACAAGATAAAAAAGAAGCAGCAGCCTTCATTCGGTTAGAGCTAGAACAGAAATAAGATGGAAAAAAAAGCTGTCATTTGATTAAGCGCACATGCCTATGGATGCAGTATATGAACACATTATGCTTTAGATCGAAGGCCAGCTAAACTAAAATGGGGCATAAACTGCCAAGATGAATGTTTGATGTAAGTTTATCTATCTCAAATAACTCAGATGACATTGTAGCAACTTAGGATTAAGCACAGCTACTTTTGTTTACTTGATATGAAGGCAAGTACATACTATTATTCATCTGAGACCATGCAAATAAAATAGCATATATTCTAATGACAATCATTAATTAGAGTCCTTGCATTGCTTCATGATTTCATATATTCAAAATTTTTAAATAAATTAAAGAATGACTGTTTATAATTTATCCAGGATATAATATCAAATGGTAATGCACGGCCTAAAAACATCTTAAGCTGTTAGAATGACTAACACAATATGCACGAGACATGTTTGAGAGTTACTTACCCCTTGTGTCCTCATTACCATTAAATCCTTGCCATTTGATTGACCACCCACCACACTGATAGCCCAAATTATCAGCATGAGTACCAGCAACAAGGACTTTTGAGACTTTCTTTGGAAGGGGAAGGAGTGGAGCACTTCCATTTTTGCCATTCTTAAGCAGCACTACTGATTTTCTCACAGCTTCCCTTGCTAGATCCCTGTGTTCCTGGATAAAAATAATATCATATTACAACTCAGGTCTCTCATTGCCATAATTGTGCATGAATATATTATAAATTACAGCAGACAAGCAATATTAATTTATTTTAAGTTTTCATGGTTGAATGTTTAAGATATTTTACTTATTAGTTGTGATTTTAAATTTAATATTTTTTACTTATTAGTTAGTTAAAAAAATATAAAATGCTTATTTAAGATTTAATATTTAAGATAAAAAATTCATGCTTATTTTTATCATTAAATATCTCAACTGGCTTTTAAATTAAACCATCCAAACGAATTTCAGTTTATTTAACTGACTTTTGAAAAAAATGGTATCCAAACATAAATCATGTTGCATCAACTGACTTTTTTTTTAACCTCAGTTAAATCCTAACCTTAGTTGTAAATTTTCTAATCCAAACACACATTTAAGGACTTCAAGTTGATGGTTGAAAATAAATTTAACTGGTTTGTCTATTCATCAAGTTCAGAGTGACAATAGGGGTGGATTTCAATCGTTCAAACCCTTCCTGGCTTCATGCGGTATTGAACATCGCCTCTCCTGTCCATATACCTCTGAGCAAAACGGCATTGTTGAACGAAAGCATCGCAGCATAATTGAAACAAGGTTGACTTTGCTAGCTCATGCCTCTCTCTCTCTCTCTATTACTGGCCAGATGCATTTATTTCTGCTGTCTTTTTGCTTAAGATACTGAAAATCAGAATGATCTTAAAATAATATAATTTAATTAAAATATACAAAAATATTCATATTTATTATGAAAAAGGTAATATTTAAATAATAAAATCATTAACTCCCCAATAAATGAAATATTCATATATAAGATTTAATACATGTCTTATACAAATGTTAATTATAAGTTTTTGACAAAAAAATATAATGATATCTAAAATATTAATTAAGGGGTCTAGATTTGATTTAGGGTTCACAATTTAAAAGGGGGAAGGAAAAAAAGAAAAAGGAAAAAAATCCAACCGGGGTCAATCCTTTCAGATGGCTGTTTGGTTCACTACTACAGAAATGAGATTTAATAACATGCATTTTGTAGTAATAAAAAATAAAACATCACTAATATTAAAGCCAAAATAGAGGGGTGATGTTTCTTAATTATATTAAATGCCACTGCTTATAAATATTTTTTATTTATATTGTTGATTAACAAAAGATGGCATTTTTAAATAAAATGCCACTCCTCCAGTTTGTCATTAATTAAGTATTTTGTTTTACTCAATTATATATTTATCTTATCAAATTATTTAATTAGTTTTAATAAAAAATATATAATTTTATTTAATAGTTAAAAGAAGAGAGGTGGCAATCCAAGAGTGGTGAAATGCCACCTGTCTTCTTTTTTATTAAATTAATACTTTGTTAATAATCAAAAGTATAGAGGTAGTGTTTCAAAGCTTGGAAATGTCACCTCTATATTCTGTTAATGATTTGATATTTTTTATCATATTAAATAAGAAAATTCTACCTCTAAACTCTATTATTAATTTAGTATTTTTTTCAAATAAAATAACTATTTATTTTAATTTATTTAATTATTATTTATAATTAATATATAATAATATTTGATAAATAAATAAAGAGGGGTGGTGTTTCTAGAGCTTCAAAATGGCACCTCTATTTTGATTTATTTTTTTATATTTTTTATAATTTATAATATTATTGTTTAATATATTTTAAAATATTATACAAAAAATACCACTTTTCTACTCTATTAATGATTTAACATTTTACTTTATCAAATTAAATAATTATTTTATTATAATTTATTTAATTAATAATTTTAAGTCTTATATAATATTATTTAATAAATGAAAATATAGAGGTGGCATTTGCTGAGTTTGAAAATGCCACCCCGATAATGTTATTAATTTTATTTTGTTATATCAAATTAAATAATAATTTTATTATAATTTATTTAATTAGTATTTTAAATTAATATATAACAATATTCAATAAATAAATTAAGAGAGGCGACATTTTTAAAATTTGCTTCAATTATCAATTTGGTTTCTCAAGTTTAATTTTTACTGATTTAGTCCTTTAAATTTATTTCAAATTATCAATTCAATCCTTATTTTTTAAGAAGAGGTAACATTGTTAAAATCTACTAACATGGTTAACGGAATATTGAGTTGACAATCATATGTAGATTAATGAAAAAAAGTGTCATTATTTAGGATGGAAAGAGAAAATAGACTCATGAATTTTATAAATAACAAAAGAACAAAAAGCATCATAAAAGATTTGATTGATAAAAATTAAACTTATATTATAAGGTCAGTTTCTCTATACATGTCCCCTTGAAAAATAGGAAGAACATAGGGGGAAGAAAACCAAGAGGAAAAGATTATAAAAATAATAAAAAAATTATTTTAAGAAAATTTTTATCATAGTTTTCTATTACCCTTATTTTATTCCCAGCATTTTTTCCTTCCATCTAAACCAAGCTGTCAAATTATTAACATACTTTATACATAAAATTAATTTGAGAGATAAGTTGTATTTTAAAATATAAAGGATTAATGTGATAGCTTAAGAAAATGTATAGAATTAAATTCATAAAAATTAAACTTGAAAAATTAAATTGATAACTATAATAAATTTAAAGGAGTGAAGTTTTAATTTATTAACCACAATAAAAACTATGCTGAGAGAGGGAGTTATTTCTTCTTTAAGCCAGGTAATATCTGAATATATATATATATATATATATATAACATCAAATAAAAAGTTATTAATTTCATAACTAAAATCCTCACATATATCAAATGGGGAGTACTGATTTATTGGTGAGTACGTATGGCAAAAAAAATAAATATTATTGAGTACGTAGATAGCAGAATGACATGTCGATTTTCGAGTTATGGGAACTGGTTTTTGGCAATTTTTTAAAAAAGGCTTGCTTATGGTGGGGAGGGGATAAGATCGAATTGACGTATCCTTTATCATTCATCTCTTATTGTGGCCCCACACAAATTTAAGCACATGCACCTTCCTTGAGTACAGGAAACACATCAAGAAACTTGTGTCCTACAATATTCAATTGTGTCGTATCAAATAAATATATTAAAGAGCATCTCGAGATACTCATAAAACCGTCGTTGATAATTGTAACATCTTTATTTTAATTTAGGAGCTTAATTGAGGATTGGTTGAGGTTAATTAATTAATTATGTTTATGATTATGATCTTAATTGGGCCTAGGGTTGATAATTAGGATTGTCAAGAGTCCAAAAATAATATTGAGCCTAAATGGAGCCCAACAACATGGGCTAAGGGCAAATTGTCGCCTTTTTACCTAAGTCACAAAGCATGACATGTCCGCAAAAGCACATATAAATGGTATAAGTATCACAAAATATAAATCATAGTTTGAAATAATATTCCATTACACACAAAAATACTTCAAAATAAATAAAGGCATTGCAAAGGACTCTAGTCTTTTCCCTCATATGCATCCTCTTTGCTTCCCCTGGACCCATCACCTGTAATTTGTTAATAAAGAGGGGATAAGTACAATAATTTAATAACCAAGATATATTAAATCAATCACATGCACGTCAAGTCAATAAATAGGCATATAAAATGGGCAATTAAAACCAATTAACATATATTAGAGATGCTAATGAAGTGATGGATATCCTCATGAAGAGGGCCCTATCGTGCATATAGTTTGGTTTCATCCTTTGAATTTTCTTTCTTATGACTTAATCCTTGTGATGCAACAAGATGTTATTGCATAGTTTATTTTCCTTTGTTATAAAAAAAAAAACAAATAACCTATATCATTATCAAGCATGATCATTAACTCCTTTATGTCCTTTGGTTACCTCCAACTAAATCTGAGTTCTTAAGACATATAAAGGTATATCTATGTGAATGAACTAACCCAATCTCACTGATTATGAGGAGTAACCCGATTGAAGGTATTATGCTCACTCTCATGCTAAAACTTAAAGAGACCATATCTTTCTTGTAAAAATTTTGAGATAAATTTACCCTTTAAATCTAAAGTAAATATCTAATTAATATAAGGATTAAGGTCTATTTTTGTCCCTAAACTATTCTCTAAGGAACATGTAGCATTCTAAACTATTTGTTGTAATAATTTCATTCCTAAAATAATTAAAATGTAGCATTTTTTTCCTAATGTTAAATAAATCAACGTCGAGCATTAAAAATACTGACTATAACTTAAGTTTGACAAAAATGATGCACCTTAACTCAAATTCACCTAGCATGACATGTGGTGTTTTTTGTCAGACTTAAGTCTCAATCAATATTTTTAATGGTGCATTGAGATATTTAATGTTAAGGAAAATATGCTATATTTTAATTATTTTAGGAGTGAAATTGTTATGACAACTAGTTTAGAATATTGAGTGTTCATCTAAAAATAGTTTAGGGATCAAAATGCACATTAACCCTAAAAACAACAATAATAAAACTTTGTCAATCAAATTCTTAAAATTTTATAATCATACTCCTTATGGTGTTATTTTTCTTTCAAACTATAAGAATTAATTGTGTATGGTTATAAAATATATAAGTTGATCTTTTTCTCAAAAAAAGAAAAAAAATTGTGGATGATTATGAAACCTTGTGAACTTAATCAAAGGACTAATGATGTGTGTACCAGAACAGCTGGAAATGGAATCTGAAACATGGGCCCCAGAATTAAAGCACGTCAAAAACACTTATGTTTGGGTCGGTTGGGATTCTAATGGACGACAATGTGAGATGGTGATTGGTGAGTTGGATTGTGACTTTCACTTATGAACATTTTTTCCCCAATTAAATTAGATAGATAAACATTAATATCAATAAATAATAAAAAAACAAAACACAACATAAAGGATTTGATTGATAAAAATTAAACTAATTTTAAAGTCAATTTGCTCTTATTTATCCATATATACTTGTCAAGTAATCAACATATATACATTATACGAAAGATTAATTTCAGAGATATTTTGTATTTCAAAACCTAAAGACCTAATGTGATAATTAAAAAAATATAAAATACTAAATCAATAAAAATTAAATTTGAAGGATTAAATAATAACTTAAATAAATTTAAAGGACAAAAATTTTATTATCCACAATAAAAATTACACTAAGAGATTCATTTCTACTGTACACGAGATAATATCTGAATATATATTTTTTTATATTGGTAATATTGAATAACAGGTTATTAATTACATAATTAAAAACTTTCGATATTTATTAAATGGGGCATATTGAATTCTTGAGTACATATGGATACAAACTTATTGAGTGTATAACATAAATATTAGAACATATGAAACGCAAGGGACTAAATTGATAAAAATTTAATTTGAAAAATTAAATCAATAAATGAGATAAATTTAAAGAATTAAAGTTTTACTGTCCAATATAAAACTATACTAAGAGATAGTCTTTTCTTCTCTAAGCCAGATAATATATCTAAATACAGGGGGGAACTACCTTGTCATCAAGGGGATTCCACTACTCCATATACATTTAGATATATATGTACAGTCCCAACTTTGTCTTCTAACTCTACTTGCTAA